GTGATGGATTACATTAATTGATTTTCTGATGTTGAACCATCCTTGTGCTCCTGGGATAAAGCCCACTTGGTCATGGTGTATTATTCTTTTAATGTAAATGCTTAATATTTTTAAAAATTAAAGAATATCACCTGATTGGAAATTAGCAGGTAGAGCCCTTGTTCAACCAGTCACTAAGAGAAACTTTCTCCCAGATCATCTTTCTTTCAAAACAAAGCAGTAGCACACATCTTAAGTAACACCCTCTGAAACTGGAACAAACTTGTTTTATCTTCCACAAGTTAACATAAAAAGTTAACTATTAAACAAGCATCCTGTTTTCTTCAAAATATTATCCCATTTCACAAAGCAATGCCCCCTTTAAAAAGCTCCCTATAGCAATTCAACCCCATTTTCTCCCACATAACCACAAAACTGAAAGATCAGAGAGAAAAACCTGATGTTGAAAAGCATTCAACTAATGCTGTGTTATATTGCTTCAGTTGCAGGGAAGGAAGTCAAAGCACAAAAAGTTAACAGACTTCCACAGGAGGACTAAAGGAGATGCTGGTAGATTAATTCTGAGATCCCATTACCTGTCTCCATGGGTAGGTAACCTAGGATTGGGCTAGGAAATGTAAGCCTCCATGAGTTAAGAATTTGACTAGACTATAAACTTAACTTTATATTTTTCACTTTTAGAATGTTATTGTGATTGAATTTTTTGTCTTTTCTTTGAATGGTTTGTGGTTTTAAAAATTGACTTTTATTAAGAAGAAAGGATTTTAACTTGAAACACCAGCTTGAGGATGCTTTTATGTTCAGCCAAAGCTAAAAAATCTGGACTCCTTCACATACCAAGTCACATGTGCTAACAAGCTCCATCTAATGCTTCCGTCTGGGGACAGTGAGCCCTGAGGGTGTTTGGAAATGTGTACAGGCATTTTTGGTTGTCACAGTAACTAAGGAATGCCTCTCTTAATAGGTTTGAGACAATCCCATATAGCAAACTAGTAACAATTTTGGTCAAAATAATAGTAGTTCTCCCCAAGACAAATTTATACATGCTCAAAGATAATTTACTTATAGGGAAATTTGAAACATATACATCTTAGAGTTTTCATTTTAACACACCTATCTAGTATTATACCTGGGACTTCCCACAGGTCAGAAAGAGATGAGTACGATGATCTGATGATCTTATAAAGAATCATAATTAAAGAATGAAAAGAATCTCCAGACTGACTAAAAACATGCCATACCTTTTGATCTTACACAGGCTGCCAAACATTCTGTAGTATTGAGTTCATTAAAAGTTTGGTCATCAAAAGGGCCAAGTATGATCCTAACACCCTCCTTTTTGGCTCAGAGAGTAAAAGACTTCCTGTTTTAACCCTGAGCTTCCATCAGGTAAACCAGTTATTTCTGCAGTTTGGCACTACTCTTACTTGGAAATCTAACAATATTCAGGATTCACTGAATAATTCAGTCACTGGAAACTGTGGATTTCTAGATGTACTAAGGAGCTTTCATCATCTAGACTTAAGCCTTAAAGACAAACAAACAAAATACATGAATTTATATTTAAAAAATAGTCTTGTTTTGGTATTTTTGCAGGCCCTATCATGTTAGTGTACTGAAGGGACTAATCTCTACCTTACTTCCTGTGAGCTGAATAGAAATTTTTAGGTACTGCTAAGCTATTCCATATCATCCCTCTCCACAAAAATGCACTCATTACCACAGAGTCCAGCTCAGGAATATGATAGCATTGGACAACAGTAGCAAATAAGTTGATGATTTCACCTTCAAGAACCTTCTGGATTGCACCTGCAGCATGTACTTCTAGCCAAACTAAACCTATGCCTCAGTGGATCTTAAATTCTACATAATCCATTCAATGGTAGAATCAGATTATAGTTTATACTGACTTTTATTTTGTAAGTATTGAATAGGTCAGTCTTAAGTAGTAGCAAACATGACTTTTATTGTCATGATGATAGTCATCATGATAGCCACCAAGTAGCAGGGTTTTTTGAATTCCAGAAACCAAGGTTGGGACAAAAATCAAATGTTTATCTTACTATGTACTAGGTAATATTCTAAAAATTTTGCTTTTATTAATTTATTTAACCCTCACAATTAAGTAATAAGCATCAATTCTATTTCTCTTATGAACGGATGCAAGAGAAATTAAGAAAAAGTATGCAAGGTTACACAACCAAGCCTTATATTTGATTTCTATCCTAAGCAGAGTGGCACAGATCTGCTTCTAATCACTAAGCAGTTTGAACAAGTGCCCTCTTAAGTTAGGTATTATTGTTCCAGCTCTCCCAAGGCAGGAAACTAAAGTTGAAAGAGAAGGAAAATGTTGTAACCACTGGGATTGTTTACAAATACCTTAGTTCTCCTCCCTTCTGACATGAGAGGATTGTACTTCTCCACATCCTGAGAATAGGTGTGGCTGTATAACTTGCTTTGGTCATAAAATGTGAACAAAAGTGTCAGAGAAACATTAAGATCCTGCATACAATTAGCATATTCTTATCCTCCCTGCATTGATAAACGATTTGTCAAAATGAAACCTTTTATTACTGTGGATCTTTGAGTAGCTTTCTTGGGCACCAGTATTCTTCTGAACTTATGTTGGATGTATAAAGGAAAATTTTTATTCTGGTAAACTCCTGAGATTCAGATTAAGGATGAGGAAGGAGTGTTTGCAACCATAACATTATCTAGCCTAGGTTGAGTAATTTATCCAACCAATTTTCCCAAACTTCTGTAGGCTGATACTTGAATTTAGGTTTCTCTGACCCAGTAGTTCATGGGGTTGTTTTTGGTTTTGTTTTTGTTTTTCCTTTTCCTTTCATTTATCATTTCTCTTTTGGTAGTTCATGACCAGCATCAACTTAACCTTAGTTCTTTTGCTGGCTTTTTAATTTTATGATAGTAAATACACTGCTTAAAAAGTTCAATCTGATGTCTATTGTAAGTCAAGGATTCAGGGCCTGTAGCAGAAAGTCTTTGTCATTCTCAGATCCAGTTTTGGTCTGGAGCCTCAGAATATGATCACCAGGCTCTTGAGAAAATGTTCTGCTCTCTCAGTTAGAACATTCAAATTCTGGCCACAGACTGTCTGCAGCAGTATTATCTAAAGAATTGTAATTTGTCTTGAGTGTTACTCAAATTTCTGACTGCTTATAGTTTTCATGATGCAAGTTAATATATGACTTTGCCATGTTTTAGGTAAGTTGTCACTCAAACACTTATATAATTTATATAATCATCCATTTTATATATCACTATATATATATAGTCACCAAATTATCCAGGTTATAATATTTAAATTCAGAGTTTAAGGGTTCCAAAATCTGCCAGCTGAGTGAGTAAACAACTGAGCTAGGTAGCACTCACTGGTGCGACAGTGACAAAGGAGAACCAATGAGATTCTGAACCTCCTTCCTGAGGATCATTCTCCTGAAACTTAAGGGAGTAAAAGATCCAGGGGATGCTGCCTTTAGCTTTCTTTGAGTCACTGAATGACAAGAAAGTGGGTGTTCACATAAGCTGGGAAAGACAAAGAAGATGTTTTATCTACTAACCTACCAGGGTTACCTTTTAAAAGACATGCGATTTTCTATTTCTTGAAAATTGATGCTATTTGGTTACTTTAATTCTTACAGTAACTATAAGGTTAGTTTATTCACTTAACCACAAGATCTCTAGCTTTTCATTGAACAGCTCTTTTGAACTATTTTAAGTTTGTTTATAATCCTGACTCATTCTGGAAATGACTGGAGGCAGTTAGATGATATGTTTAACCTTAGCAAATATCCATTAAATGCTATAAAGCAAATACATAAAATGAACTGTTCGTGGAATAAATTGCTTATTTTGGAGTTTTGTTACTTTTTATTTAGAAATTACAGATTTTAGGGGATTGCAAAAATAGTATAGAGTGATCAGATCGTGTACCCTTCACCCAATTTCTCCTAATAGTTACATGAACCTCCTTCCTGAGGATCATTCTCCTGAAACTTAAGGGAGTAAAAGATCCAGGGGATGCTGCCTTTAGCTTTCTTTGAGTCACTGAATGACAAGAAAGTGGGTGTTCACATAAGCTGGGAATAGTATAGTACCTTCTCAAGATTAGAAAAGACTTTAATGCAATGTGTGTATGATTTTATGCCATTTTGTTACATTTATAGATTCATGTAACCACCACTGCAATTATATAGATTATGCCATCAGCACAAAGATCTCCCTTTTTAAGAGTACACCCACTCCCTTCCCTCCACCATCCTTATTACCTGGCAACCACTAATCTCTATATCATCATAATATTATTTTAAGAATATTCTAATAAAAGTATTGGTATTTTTACTACATAAAAGTTTTATTTCCATGTGTTAATTAGAGCATTAAAAGTCCAGAAGATCTCAAACATACCCAGATTATTTTTCATAGTAAATAGTGGTAGTTAGTGTAAACATTTGTATTGGAATGCCAATTTTAGTCACTTTTTTCTATAAACATACACATTAAATTTTTCTACTGAGGTATAATTGTCATATAAAAGTATGTTAGTATCAGGTATGCAACATAATGGTTTAGTATTTTTGTGTACTACAAAATGATTACCACAATAAGTCTAGTTAGCATTCTTCTAGAAACTTTCAATTATGCCCTTCAATACTATTAATTATAATTGCTGTGCTGTAAACTATCTCCCCATAACTATTTTATACTCCCCATATAATTATTTTATAATTAGAGTTTGTACCTTTTGACCCATTTCATCTACCTCCCTCTCTTCACCACTGGTGAAGTTCTCTATGAGCTTGATATTTTTAGATAATAAATATAATTTTAGCTAATATATATGTTAGATCACATGATATTTGCCTTTAATTATTTTACTTAGCATAATGCCCTCAAAATTCATCCATGTTGACATTTTATTCTTTTTTATGATTGAATTCTTTTTTATGATTGTGTGCATATGTACTTTATATATCACATTTTCTTTATTCTTTCACCAAAAATTATGTGGCTAGATAGTCTCAACATCTCTGGCATTATAAACTATGCTAAAATAAACACACGGATGCAGATAGTTTTTGACATAGTGATTTTGATTCCTTTGGACAATACCCAAAAGTTATATTGCTAGATCATATGGTGGTTATATTTTTAATTTTGGACACACCTTCATATTGTTTTCCATTGTCGCTAGACCAGTTTACAGCTCGATCAATATCCTCCTTGTTATTTCAATTTTTGTTTAGTAATGGCCATTCTAATAGGTGTGAGATGATCCTATGATTTTGATAGCATTTCCTTAATAATGTTGATGCTTCTCATGTACCTTGTGACTACGTATATTCCCCCATATGCCTTTTTTCTTTTTAATGTCTGTATAGATCCTCTGTCCTTATTTTATTATAGAGGTTTTTGTTGTTGTTGTTATCAAGTTGTATGTAGTCTATATATCTTGGATATAACCCTTTATAAAATACACGATTTTCAGAAATTTTCTCCTAGTTAGTATTGGCCTGTTCATTTTGATAATGATTTTCTCTGATCTGTGGACATTTTCTGATTGATT